TCTCCTATATAAGGACTTCAATCTTCATTAGCAAACCAATGGTGTTTTCACACAACATTATAAACCAGTATACACTATCCTTCCCTTCTCTCATATTGTATCTCTAATCTTCATAATGATGCAAATGAAGAAGCAGACTACTATCCTTAGTCACACACTTCCACTAGTCCACTAGTACTAGCGTTGTAAGTATTTTATTTCTATTATTGTAATTTCTTTATTTTGTTAATATAAAAAAATTTTTAGTAACTCTTTTATAATTCATCACCAGTCCTTATATCTATAGCTTGTGATTCTCCTCATGTCTTTAATTCCACACTTTGTTATATTTTGGTATCAAAGCCATTTGATGGCTTGGATAGTTACCAATGCAGTTATATTTGAGTTATCTTACTTGTGTTAAGTCTCTTTCATTTCAGTTTAGTAAATCATTGTTTAGTTTGGTCTACCCTTGTCACCTAGTCTTTGTCAGCTCAACAGGGAGAGTCTCATTTATGTCCCGTTTGTAAGTCCTGGTGAGGCAATTTAAGGAGTCAAGAGACATATCATGAGAGCATGTATGTTAGGGGGAATACTAAAATGACTTATTTAATTTGATTATAATATATGTGGGTGACTAAAATATAAGTAGATTTATTATAGTAAAAATTTTAATATATAAATAGATAGATTTATTATGTTAAAAAGTTAAAGCATTAATCATAAGATACGCTTCATATTGAAACCTTATAAACAATCGTGCTCTGAGTCAGGACCTTCCTATTTTATTATATAAATAATATTGTTTGCACCTTGTTTACTAACCTAATTTACAAACATAATTCATCAAAATGATAGAGAGAGTGAGAGAGAGAGAGAACACAGACAACCAACAACAGAATGATTCCAGCAACGTTGTAATATCCTTTACTATCTCCTCATCGAAGTCGCAAAATGGTAACATTTTATAAACATGTGAGACATCCTTCTGTAACACGAAACAAACTTGCCCATGTTTACCATCTAATGGCCCAGACGCCAATAACGGAATCTATGCAGTACAACACCATAAAATAAGAGTTCATGGAGGGTTAGATATATGTCTTCTTTTACCACCCATTGAAGAGAAGCTGTTTCTATGACTTAAACCATGACACCCAGGTCACTCGACCTTGTACTGTGGTCTCCAGTTATAGTGCTCCCACATTGACAGATTTTGGCCATAGAGCAACGTGCTGAACAGCACCTTGAGAGAGCAGCAGATAATCAACAAGAGCAAACTGACAGTAGAATTGTTTCAGACGCTTTGATTCGCACATTTTATTACCCACCTAGATACTAGAGGGTTCACTTTCTTGTGTTAGAATTTGACTTCTTGGTATTGATTTCTTATGACCTTTCTGCAATTGGATGCACTCCAAATCGGCCACCAAATAACAGAGCAACCATTCCCCATGAAGCAAATCCTAGAAACCAATACAAGAGGACGGGGCGGGAGCCGGAAAATTGTGTTAGGGTGGACACGAATATTTTAATAAATTATTATTTTTTTCTTACAATTAATAAAAATAGGACAATAATTTATTTAATTACATCTTATTTAATACTTAAAAGTTCATTAAACCGATCATACCAAAATTTGATAAACCTAATATATACAAACGATAACATTTTTTTTTCAAAATATTAACTAATTAAAATAATTTAGAATTGACTTTAGTAAATTTTTGTACTTTGAAAATGTGAGATCCCGTATTTCATATAAATATAAATGATATTAACTTGATAATATTTTTAAAATGATGAAAGAAATTTCGAATCGTTGTTAAATGAATAGTTGCATAAGTTTGAGCTACATGCGTATTGACTTTTAAATCAAATTTTATTTTGAGCTATTTAAGGTTGATAAGAATAATCAAGTAAATTTATTAAGTTTGTTTATGTCAAAATAACATTACCATTGAATCTGGGACTAGACATTTAGCTCTTATAGTGGTTCAAAGGGGTAAAAATTAAAAATATGGCATTTTTGGTATAATTTGGCTTGGATTTATACAGAACTCATAAAAATAAATGTTTTTAACCTAAAATAACAATAAATATGGATCTGAAACGTAAAAAAAACCTTAGGGTAGTTATATGGATCAAATTGGAGAAGTTTTGGGGCAAAATCATAATTTTGGAGAAAATACATTTTTTGGGTCCTATGAACAGTACCCCGCGCGAATTTCAGCCCTTATAACCCCATTTTCACCTTCATTTCTCTCATTTTTCTCACACCTCTCACCCAATACTACTCCATAAACCTTAGAATTAGAGAGAGAAAGAAAGAGGAAGAGAGAGGAAGGTGCTTGGGCTTTTGCTTAAAAACTTAGGATGAGATTCTTGAATTCACTTGAAGATTTGAAGGTGGAGCTTGGGTTATTGAGTTTTGAGGTAGGGTTTTCCTTTCTTTTGCATATACATTGATGCATCTCATTATGTTTTATATCTATTTGTTTAATATAAACTAAATACATGTTATGGGTCTTAATGAAATGATGAGTTTACTATAGATTTGAAAACCTACATGCATTAAATGAATTTGGATATTGTGGGTTTGAAACCCTAACTTGATTTTTTGTTATGGGTGTTTGATTGAACTTTAAATTTTGGATTCTTTAGAATATATGTGATTTTGTATATAATGTATTTGATTTGTCTCTTAAGAATGAGTATGTTACTTTGTAAATGTGTATTTGGAAACTTTATGTCTATCATGTGTTTGATAAAATGTCAAAGTGACTATAAGCATTGAAATGATAAATTGTGGAAAGAGATATTAATTTGTATGATATGATTGAGTATATTTTATAATGATTTTGGGTATTGTTGAGTTATTTTAAAGTATGGAAAGGGTGGTGTTGATGTATATAACTTCTCAATCGTTTAATTTACAAATTTTGCTATAAAAGGGTACAAATTGTATTTTTTTGGAGGTGTGTGAATTATTTTGAAAATGTGTTATGTTAGAAATGGAAATGTGAGATTTTGTAAAACTATGTAATTTTTTTTTAAGTGTCGAAGTAGTGGTTGGTGTTGGGAATGGAAGGTGATCATGAAATTATGATTCAAAACTTGTATGCTCGGTACTGACAAGCAAAAAGTTAGTAGACGATTGGGGCCTTTGAAGAGGGTTACCAAGGCAGCTACTAGTCCTAGGAGGGATTGGTGATAGTAGTAGTTTTCGGTGACAAGCTGTGTGGCATCACAAGTTGTGCCCTACACATCCCTCCTAAAAAGCAAGAATGGCGATGAGATCCTAGGGTGCAAGACCCAAAAGGTTTCCTAGGAATGGTTCATTCGTGAACTGGTGTTGGTTTGATGATATCTGTCTGTATGGGTAGCATACATGAATTTTGGGTGCCAATAAACCAATAGCCAATATTCCAACAAATCTCTTGAGTGGGGTAAGGTAAAGTGAGGTTGAGGCAAAAGTACATGGAGTTAATATTTTTGAAAAATACCTTAGAAAGAATAAGTTTATGGAATTACGTTCAAAATAAGAAATGATTATTTTACTAGATTTATTATACATATATTTGTATAAAGATTTTTCACTTCGTACTTTATAAAATCAATGGTGTTTCATTATGTTTTAAGAAGAAATGTTTTATAGAGTTACCTTGAGATTTGATTTTAATGTGGTAAATTCCTTAATGTTTCACTTATGTATTTCAAATGATAGTACGTAGTGTACTTTCAAAAATGCTTACTACTTATCGTGTACCTAGATTTATTGATAAATTATTTCATTACCTATCATTATAATTGTGAATTGTTGGTATTTCAAATCTTGTATATGCTTGAGAAAAGGATTATCCTACTAAGTGTGTGGTCGCTCACCCCTATCATTTAACATTTTCAGTTATGGGCATATGTTGTTGGAGTGCATAACGAGAGTATCGAGGCAGAAGATAATTGTTATGACTTGATAATGTACGATGATGTATATTATTGAGGATTTGTAAGTGATTTATATATTGGTTAATTTGAATAAATATTTTAAATATTATGTCCATGACAAAGAATTTTGAATAATTAGATTATAACTCAGATTTGGGAGGACTTCATGAACCTCCATTTGCCACCCCGATATTGAACGATAATAACTTATTTTGTGGATATTATGAAAAATGATGTAGATGATTGATATGATGCGAATGACTAATTAGATATAATTATTATGTTTAATGCTCTCACAGATAGCTCTCACCAACTTTCTGGATGCCCGATTTTCAAAAAAAACTCTACCAATTTTTTTTAAAAAAATAATTTATTTTAACTAAAGACATATTTTTCTAGATGTTTTTACAACAAATCGACATTTATTTTTGGAATAAACAAAGTATTTTTTTTTAATCACGCTTTTGTGAAATCTGGGGCGTGACAGAAAACGTTGCATAACAACTTTATTTTTTTTTACATATATAATCATGTTATCACTTTGATATTTATAAATCATTTGATTGATTATACAGTTCAATGTACACTCTACAGTTTTTACTATAATTAATAAAAATAAATGTCAAAATCACAAGTAAACTACCAAATATATATATACATGTCTTTTTTAGTCTTAAAAAATATAAAATAATTTTAATATATTCAAAATTTATCTAGATAGGTACATAACCCGCACAAAATATGTTAAAAAATTCTTATTCATTTGATTTAAATATATACTAATTGATGTGCAAAAAAAGGTTTGGAGAACATAATTAAAATTATTCATTTGATATAAGTGTACATTAATATTTTTGTCTTTGATTTCGAGTGGGCACAAATAATACATTATACAAATATACAATATACATACTAAGCAATAAAAATAAAAAGATTTTTGACCGGGGGGGCACTTGCCTCCGCCCTTGAAGGAGACTTCTCCCATATCTAATCTATTCATAATAATGTCAGTCACTTCGAAATTTAATCAGACAGACATCCATGCTTGTGTGTTCATGCCAAAGTACAATCAAAATCTATGTTTTCTTTCCTTTCATAAATTTCCAAATTTTTTTCTTTTTCTTCCACCTTAATACTGCCAGTTTCTCACATTTCCACTTTCTGTACTTTTGTCGCTCCTTTAACCAGCAAAAATAATCCTTCCCCTTCTTGCACTTAATGAAATCAGCTAAATCATCAAAGTCAGATAATTCCTTGGGATTTTCCAGTATGCACTTGAGGAAAATCTCCCCATCGCATGCTTCCTCCGTTTCCTCTTCTATGCCAGTATCACATTCCATGTTACAAGGAACCAAGGCACTCATCAAAGTTTCTGCTTGCCCATCTTCAATTCCTGTGCAGTCTCTTGCAAGAGGAGTCGTACTGCAAAAACAGAATAATAAATAAATTATGCAAAAGCTGTGACATGCTCATAACAGTTTGGTCTCAAATGAAAATTCAGAAAGCTGTCCCTGCTTTAAAAATTTGTCTGGACTCTCCTAGGCAAGTCAATAACACTGCTTCACACCACCACGAAACTCACTCTCTTTTTGTTCTAATAGAAAATTCAGAGCAAGAGGTACGGTTGTGTGCCAGTAACATCAAACATCAGTATCATGCATAGCAAGCCAAGTTCCCAGAGCACAAAGCAGACAAAAATTAACAAGTGATTATAAAAAAAATGTAAAATCTGTTTCCAACAAATCATATATTGTCTCAAACCCCAAAAAACTATGACAATCGTGTTTAGATATAGCTGTGTACATCGTCGCATATATGTGCAACAACTAGAAGGATTGCAATAAATGCATGCATTGGACATTGGCCAACTTTCAATGTATGCGATACGACATTTTCTTCAATACCTATTGCGATGGGGGTACGCTTAGTTGGTACACTTTTTTGGAACAGTTCTCCCTCGACTCTTATCTAATCATGCTCATTATTATGAAAAACTTTGTATAATGATACAGACTATACACAGTTATTATTTATCTTATACTTGTGATAGTTTTCATTGTATATCGATGTATATACTAATTAATATTTTGTATTTTAGTAGAAGACTTTTAAAACGAATGGAACTACCACTTACCAGCTTAGAAACAAATTTTAAAACAAATGTTTGTTAACACATGAATGCATATGATAGTTTTAATATTTTTGTGTGTGTGTGTGTGTGTGTGTGTTGGGGGGAAGGGGGGGGGTGTTGACAAGTACAAAAATGATATGTGAAGTGGAATGATATATATGCCTGTCATGTTCTCAGATTGTAGCACTCTGGCAATTATGTAATAGTAATTGATACAGCATGCAAATTTCAGATCTAGCCAACTGCAACCTGAAGTTTCATTGCAAATAAACCACTCTTTCTTTTCCCAAATGACACGAGATTACAAAATACCAATCACTACTGGACTTGCTTTCTTGGTGACAATACTAAACATTTAAAAGCAATGACATCATATTAAAATCTACCATGTATTAGCCAGTAGACCAAGCAAAACACACTGAATTGTCAAGCCCAAACAAGGCAATGAAATGCTAAGTAAACCTAAGTTCATTATGCAGAAAACTTAAGAAGAGAATCATATGTAAAATTTCAGCAAAGGTGTCAATAGCCAACAATTTCCTAAATTTTATGCAAAAAGATCTTACACAACAGAATCAAATAACTGAAGAAGTACATGCTCAATTAGTTAGCAAAGATCTAGGTTACTGCGTATAGATCATACCTCAAGTATAGAGTTCGTATTTTTTGGAATTTTGATGCAACCATTAAGCTTGATTTTTGATACACCACAGCCTGCATCAGTAATCAGCAGGTTAAACACAAGATACTTTGCAAAACGAAATTATAAAACAGGCAGACGGAGGGGGAGTTCACCTCCTGAACATCAACAACTGGTAATCCAGTTGAAAAGTATCGAGAAGTTGAATCAATCAATGGTCTCAGTGAATCCAAATTACCCTCTTCAAAAACAAATAAATTCAATACTTCCATCAGAGTCAATATGCAGCCCTTCACTACGGAATCATGCCTACTCATAAAGCTTGATGATAGCAAACCTGAAAAGTGAAAAAGCATCATCCTGGACCTCTGATGCATCATTGGGTGAGTTTCCATTATGTCAAATAAAAATTTTTGGATTGGTAAAGATATAGAGTCTCTGAAACAGCTGATGATAGCCGCAATGCCATCATATTCCCCACATGAAGACCAGTTTTTTGCTGTTTTTAAACCACCAGAGTCGCCCCTGTTTCTCATACACCAAATAGCTTGTGACATTGAACTGCTCATTAGCTTTAGTATAGATGCAAGAAGACATAAATCTTGCCCCCTTGTATCCCTATTCGCATGTAGTGCGAGATCATTAACATCACTAGAAGCTCTCCATACTATGCAACTCAAGATAGATACAATCTCATCTCTGCATGATATGTCAAGAATAGATTGATTCTCCTTAATGAATGCAATATAGGAAGTTACCAGGTCAGATTTCTTTCTAAAGAACCTGCTGCATAGATGTGAATCCAAGGAATCGTCTAACTTGGTGATTAGAAAATTAATTTTCTTTCTTGTGACTGGCTGAATGTAATATTCAAAACATGGCCGAAAGGTCTCCCCATGTATAGCTGATTTGACAAAAGCACCACTAGCACCTGTAGGATGGCCATCCATTTGTAAGTTAGGCATGTGTTTGGTGTACAATACCACTGACTTTTCAAAAGCTGATAGGTAGTAATCCATAAGTCTCAGATCTGGTTTCAAATTTTCTGAAACCTTGACAATACCGGTGGCTTCAGAAACCAGTGAAATTAGGTGTGCCTGCAGAGCTTTTGGTGCAGAAAGTAAGATGGGATTGAAAAGAAATGATATGGCTGCAGTCAGACTTATTTCCCGAGCTCTGAAATCCCTTTCATGCAGGCAAAATAATTTGTTGAAAAAGTTATCAACTGCTTGCCCATCCGAAAATGATAGGGTAAAATGAGTAGAGATTATCTCCACCAAAATTCCAACATCACCATAATTGCAGTGATGGATAAACAGTGAGTCATTAGGAGAACAAAAAGAATCAATGAGCTTGAAGTATGCTCGTAATTGACCATCCACCAAAAGCTCATCCACAAACACCTGAGACAAAATCCCCACATTAATCATGCAAATATGCAGCAAAATGCTTATAGAAGTATCTGACTAAACAAGAAATCAGGAAGAGAGAGAGAGAGAGAGAGAGAGAGAGAGATATATCTAAAAACTGTGACAGAACAGTATGCAAAGATAAACAAAATTGATGGTTAATTAGAAAAAGGAAGAAAAAATAGTGAACATATACATACATCTACTTTAACCAAGTTTAAAAAGAAAGAGAAACGATACAAATTTCAGCCAAAGGAACCCACCATCAGGTGTAATTGCACTACTAAGCAGACCTGGTTTCTTAAAGGTTGGAAGTACTCAAACTTTTCATTCAAGGGAAGTTTTAATATTTCATGTTATTTAGGTCCCAAAAAATTTCTTTTTTACTGCCCCAAAATCATAACAGAGATTAATCATCAAAACATCAGAAATTAACAAACATGAAGTCCAGAATCCTTGAAGAAATCCAATAAAGCTTTTGTTGCAAAAAAATTAAGTCTTCTCATCTCTAAACCATGAGAAAAACAAGTGAAAGCAACTACAAAAATTGCAGTAACAATTGACACAGGTTTACATGATAGGAACTTCCAGCAAAAGTAATACAGGATATTTTGGATCTAGATATTATCTAGTAAGTATAATATATACTTGCCATGCACTTTATGGAGTAGTGGATTCTGAATTTACTGCATTATATGACCTCATATACTTTCTTCAAAAAAACTAAAAAATGTCAAGAACACATAAATCCAATTCACGAGAACGCAGATAAGTTGCAGGAAGCCAAAATTCGATAACAAAACAAGAAGCAAACAACACCTAGTTCTTCATATCAATTGTCAAGAATGTAGGGCCGGATAAGAAACTATAGAAGAGGTCATCCCTTACTCCATTCCTTCGGAATGGCGGGATGGTTGACAACAACAACGAACGTTCACTCTCTTTGGGGTCTTGGTGTCAAAGAAGGCTCATAGCGCATGTGCATGGATTAGGATTATCGTACCCTTAATAAAATCACAGTAAATAATCGCTATCCTTTACCAAGGATAGATGTCTGATTCCCATTTGATTAGTCGAGGGTGAGCGCTCACTCTTTGGGGCCCACCTCATTTTTGTTGTAAAATCTAACTTTTCGGAAATCATAAATAAAGGAAAGTGGGAGTACAGTTTTTTTTAAGACCTCTCCATTCTCAATTATTCTAATCATTGAATTAGGTAGGACACGATTTTAAACCATCTCGAGCTAGTGTTACTTCTCCTTCTCAATGGAGTATTAATTCTAAGATGTGAAGTTTTAATTGTCATGGTTTTGGTCATCTATATTTTCGATGCCCAACAATATATGTTGTTGTAGTTGAAAAAGAAAATCCCCAAGTGAATAAAGAACCTTGTGAGCCAGAATTGAAAACAGAGATTGTTGAACCTCTTAATTTGAGTGAGGTTAATTTTATTGATTTAGATGATGACTTGGGTGTTATCTGTCCTCTATTTTTTCCTCGTAAGGAAGTTGCTAGTGGCAAGCTTATTCATAGAGGGAAAATCTTTCAAAATAGAGTTAATTATGAAGGACATGTCGTGACTGACACGAGAAGTTGAACAAATGTGGTATCACATGAAGTGAAGAAATTGAATTTGAAAGTGGAACCACATTCATAACCATATCATATAACATGGATTACTAATACCAAGCTGAAAGCTAAAAAAATATGTTCATGTATATTCATCAATGAAAGCCTTTAGGAGACAATCATGTGTGATACGTTGCCTCTCAAACTTTGTCCCATACTTTTAGGGCGCACCTGGATTTGAAATCGTGATACACAACTTACGGGATGTGCCAATGCAGATGCAAGTAAAATACAACTGAAAAAGAGATTTTTATTGATTCAAAAAGCTTCTCCATTAGATGGTATTCTTGGACCTCCTCCTTGGAAGCTTAGGCGAAGGACTAAAATTTTTTGGTCCAAAGGAAAGTGTAATTGGTAGTTTATTAGGATTAGTCTTACTATCTGTTAAGAATAATAGGGTAGTATGTGTAAATTATTAATAGTAAGAGGGTGTATGTATAATTCTTATTATTGTGAGTTAACTATAAATACAAGTGATGTATGAGAGTTAGGTTAAGTTTTTAACCTCTCTGTTTCTCCCTAAATATTGTCTCTAATATTATATTAATCTTCCAAACTTAACATGTTATCAGAGCATTACAAACATAAATATATATTCTGAATAAATTAATTTT